TTCATCATTTTATCATTAACCTTTTTCATAGGATGCTAGAATGAACAATTTCAACACCCAGGAAATAGTTGAAGCAAATAAACCTAAATATATTACTCATTCTGCATTTTTGTTATACTTTTATGCCATTTTTGTTATATATACATAACATAGCATTTACCCATCTTTATTTCAGATGTTTCAATGAATAATATGCTAAATTCAGTCTTTTTCTCTTACTTGTATTTCTCAGGTCTGTATGCCTGCATACCGACCTGGTGTATGCTAAACTCTCACTCTATGTGTATAATAGAATTTGTCAGGTCGGTATGCCAGCATACCGACCTGGTGTATGCTAAACTCTCACTCTATGCGTATACTAGTATTTGTCAGGTCGGTATGCCTGCATACCGACCTGGTGTATGCTAAACTCTCACTCTATGCGTATACTAGAATTTGTCAGGTCTGTATGCCAGCATACTGACCTGGTGTATGCTAAACTCTCACTGTATGCGTATACTATAGTATTTGTCAGGTCTGTATGCTGCGACCTGGCGTATGCCAAACTCTCACTCTCTGCGTATACTAGTATTTGTCAGGTCTGTATGCCTGCATACAAATCTGTTGTATTTAGAACCTTTAATATATTTATTTTGGCATAGTTTAGGTCTGTATGCCTGCATACGAACCTGGTGTATGTAGACTTAAATTATTATTTATTTTGGCATTTTTCAGCCAGGTATGCCTGCATGGATTCTAAAACCTTATTCTGGATACATGTTTGTAGTGGCAAGTCTGTATGCCTGAATGCTAAGCATTTACTGTGTAGTAACATTTCTTATTTACTATATACATAAATAAGGAGATGTGTATGATTGTGAAAGAGACATATCTCCATCAAAGGCTGAATTACATGGATGTAAGGAATTACTTATGTATAGCCTTCAACTTCGTTTGAATTTGAAAGAAAGCTCTCAATTCTTAACTGCAACACTCAGGGGTTTATTCCTGTATATCAACCCGCTTTTCAATAAACTCTTGTGAAAAAAATGGAATTCATAGGCTTGCTTGTCGGCATACCGACCTATAGTCCTATACACATTTGAACATGAAAGTTTTCATATTTGTTTGACATTTTCAGTTCACGGTATTCTTGCATACAACACTGGTGTACGGTGAACACTTATTTTTTTTTACTTGGATATATACAAGATTTGATTGCTGTATACCCACCTATGTTCTATTGGATCATAGTTTTACATACATTTAAGTATTGTCCAACCAAGCTGGTGTTCAATGAGCTAGTGTAATTGTGTAGGGTTTGCCTCCAGTCTAAAATTTCTGCATATTTGGTGGAACTTATTGGATATTTAGCAAGCTGAACGGTTTGCATTCTAACTAGCCGTATGTTGTATTCATATTTTAAATTGTAAAACTATTATTTTTCATCATGCTCTAAGTTAGTAACTTCAATTGATGGATAGAAAATGGAACTGTCTTAAAATCTGATATAGATGGCAATATGCATACTTAATAGATAGTGATACAGCAAAGTTTTTAAGTCATTGTGTTTGCATTTCTGCCTGTCAACATGGTGTATGACAAAGTTCTTGTTTGGTATTTTTTTAAATGCTTTTAGGGGGGATGTCTGTATACAATTTGCTGTAAAAAGATGTATGCCAAACATGCATGTATTTTAATTATCGTTAATTTAAACAATTTGCAATGATCTGTCTTGACTGCATATCATAAGTCGGTATCTAACTGGATTGGCTTAGATATGAAAATTAGTGAATTTATAGTACTATACTATGGTAAAAATTATGTATACTGGCATATACACTGGAGTTATGAAAATAAATCCTTCAATCAGGAAAGCCAAAGAATTGATGCTTTTTCTAGGTGTCGTCCTTTTCTAGTGAAGCTATTTTTACTTTATAAGCAGGAACAGCAAAAGGTCAGGTGCTGTTCATTGGTGTCGTAGTTTTCTAGGAAGGCATTGGTTTAACCTATCCAGTCACTAAGAAGTGTTACAATTCAATTCATAAGCAACACATAAATAGTTACATGAAAGGTATAGCCACTGTTTGAAAAATGCTGAAACGAGAAATTGAAACTACATATTATATACGTATATATATATGTAAATATTATACACTTCATATATAACTTTAACATTATCGCAGTTACTGATTTTAGAATTTATTGAACTAAGGGTTCTTAGTGGTTGAATTGAAGTCGTTCCCTTGAAAGTTTTTTTGTAACCATGCATATGATTGAAGATCAATGAAATATGTAATTTCCTTAATAACATTCATTTTTCCAATTTGAACACTCTTGAAATGTGCTGTTCAGATCCTTTCGCAATAAATGTATGTTTGATTTGTTTGAATTACTTCTTTTTTGTTTTTTATTGATCACTAAATTTCAAAAGTTTTCTGTCTGTCTTTCGATTTTGTTGATAGTTTTTCATAAATTACCCTGTAACAGCTTCTTACATACACACATCACAGAATGCTGCATGATCATGTGACAAATGTACTCTACGGTTTTCCCAAACAAGGAGAACATCATACAACCTCCTTGTAAAAATAAGGAGATGTGGGATGAATGCTAATGAGACAACTATCCACCAAAGTCCAAATGAAGTGGATGTAAGCAAGTATAGGCAACCGTACGGACTTCACCAATGAGAAAAAACCAATATCGTATAGTCAGATGATAAAAGGTCCCAACATGAAAAATAAGAAACAATGCATTTGAGAAAACTAACGACCTAATTTATAGCAAAACAATTTACGAAAAAGAAATACGACATACATGAACCAATTATTAATGACATCTTCAACTACAGGCTCCTGACTTAGGACAGGCACATAAAGACTAGTGTGGCCGGTTTTAACATGTGAGCGCTCAACCCTCGCCCTTACCTGGGACAGTTGTTTCCCTAAGAATTGTTAGAATAAGAACTGAATGGGTTAACTGAAGGACATTGGTCATGCATTTTGAAAATCTGGATAGGGGCTGAATTTCAATTTAAAACAAAAGCCGGGAGACTTAACTCAGTGGCAGATCCACAGTTGCATATGGGGGATGGGGGTGGACACTGACTACCTCAGAGATGGATCGCTCCAGTCATGCTTTCCTCAATAATCAACCAATTTTTTCCCACAAAGCACCCCCTCAATCCGCCTCTGGAACTAATGCAAGGAGACATCACTGTGGATGTACACCTAATCGTATTTCCCATTCATTTTTTTTCTCTAAATGCTTTCGGGGTGGGTGGGGGGTAGTCCAAATACTTATGACGTCTTGCAAGGCTATTTTGGTTTTTTTTTTGGGAGGGGGGCAGCTTGATAGTTAGCCACACGATGTCCTGCATGAAATTGATTGAAGTGGACAAACCTCTTGAGAAAACACAATTAGCATCTATAATCAATAATCTTATTATATAAATAACAGTTTTCAGGTCGGATTGAGTCAATTTTAAAAAAGGGGGTGTTCTATTAAATTCGTGGAAAATGTACAAAAACAGCGAGGTTTACTTACCTTAAATGTACTAACATTCTGTTTTGCTTCTGGTATATTAAAATTTAGATGATAATAGAGCGTACTTTTCAATGAACTGTCCATTTTCTTCTCCGTGACGGGAACTCCGTCATTGATCATTCTCATTGTTTACATTTAGAAATGACGTCATATAAGAGCGCGTGACATACGGTGTTATTAGAGGTCATTCAACGCAGATAAATAGTCCATTTGTTCTTTGATTTTTTATCAATTACCAATACAAAGTATAAAAAAACTATTTTGTTTTGTAATTAATTGCTATTATTTTAATTAAGTGTACTGGTGAAAGTAGCTCGCGTAAGTCAAGGCCCTCATTGTGCTATCCGTCTGTAATTCCCTCCGCCTTACGTCACAAGGTCCCTGACGTCATTTAAAGTTTTGTCAACAACTTGGAACCTTGCAGTACAAATTATGATGGCCTCATTTTTCCGTAATTTTAATTTGCAAAAAACAAAACAGATAACTTGCATGTCAATATGAAAGTGATCATAGTCGTGGAACTTGAGAATCGGTTTTCATTTTTAGATTTACAACAGTAAACGCTTTAACAGTTTGCTTTGCAAATTAACGCTTTTCTGTTTACCTATGGGGAGAAAATTTTAGAGGTCAGTCGTAGACTTGTAGTTTAAAAAAAATCGAAATCGGTGTTAAAACACAACTACTGAAGTAAAGGATTTTGGCAACACCATGTTTGTATGCTCTACTGATTCGAATGCATTACATTGAAGATTCTGGAAACATCCAGGTTCGTATGCTGGCATACAGACCTGCGAAATACAACATTTGATTCAATATTGGCCGTTCTGCATACACCAGGTTCGTATGCAGGCATACAGACCTGAGAAATACAATGTATAAATTAAATGTAGACTTTAGCATACACCAGGTTCGTATGCTGGCATACAGGCCTGAGAAATGCAAGTTAATTTATTAAGATTCAGTTCAGCATTCCCCAGGTGTTCAATATGCCAGATTCTCGATTTTCAAATGTTTGATAAAAAGAAAAACGTGTTTTCCTTTATTTTTCTCGTTTTTGCATACGTTTGTCTTATGAGCTATAATTCGACATATTTGAATACGAATTATGGCAAATGACCGTGAATGAGAATTTTTAATTTTAGATGAGAACGTATTATAATAAAGGGATATGCTCCTTGTGAGCCCATTGAATGGAAATAAAACCTTCGTCTTTTCTGCTTCTATAGGATAGAGTAGCTATTTAAAATATACATATGTTCTAAATTGTGACATATTTAATAGAAAGTGTAAATTTAATCACAGAAACGACAAAATATAAAACCACAAAATTTGTAATAATAGTCTAATCTAAGCATTGCAATACACTAATTGTTTATATTTATACAATGTCAAATAATCTTATACGTTATAAATTAAAATACACATTAAAATACACATTATGGTACACATTAAGGCGATTTATTAAAACTTACCTTACTTCCTGTGTGTGTTACATGCAAATACAAGAAAGAAGAGAGATAACTCTGATTGAATATAAACTAACACCTAGTATCAGTTGGTCTACCGTAAGGGAAAGGAAGTACTAGACACGAAAAAAGACTTGTGGTTACAGCATATCATTTATTTTTCCTTGTTATGTATGAAGTTTTATCAACACTGTTGTACACTTTGAATATACATTGTCATATATAAATATGATCATATAGCATATGTGCTTTATCTAATAAAACATTTGATTTGATAAAAAAAAACAAATTCTGTATTGCCAATTTTCGCGCCCCTAGAGTTTTATAAAGGTCTAAAACATAAGAACAAACAAGTACAAAAAGAAAATTAATTATTTACGATGGTATTCCCAGTTTCATCGGGATTCTCAAAATAGACACAGAGGTTCACCTTTAGTTCAGGGGGATTACCAACCAACCTGTTTTTTTTTCAGTTATGATAGTTGTATTTCCCGAAAAAAATTCTCATTCTGAAAAGTAAACTATACAATTGAGTGATGCAGCGATATAACGAGTCTAATTGTATGTCCAAAAGGCGGTATGTTTTACGTTACATTTAACACTTATGTTAATCATCCGAAGAAGGGGTTGGATTCTAAAAATATAGACAATTGTTTTCTCTAAACAAACGTGCTTAAGCACTACCCAACTGCGTAAACCATAATCAACAATGGCTATAACATCGCACACATCCGTTCCCTTAACTTCATCTACAAACGGTTCTAATTCAATCTTCATATACCTGTGCTTAACCCATTTTAAATTGAAGATTTTTAAGTTTTAGAATTGTCGAATGTATCTTAAGAAAACAGCTGAAAATATGATTTAAAACAATCATCAATGAAAAAATTTAGTTTTTACCGTATTTACTCTGAATTTAATACTCTTAAACGAAAAACAGACTTCCTCAAAATTTTGTATACGTATAATTATGATTTTATTTCTAAATATAAATATTCATGTGTTTGCATAACTCATACTATATTTTAGATAACAGCATATAAAATTAACCCCCAAAAATAATCTTTAATTGTAATAGAAATATTGTATGCATATCTTTTAAGTTGACCTTTACCTGAAGTCCCTATTACACATTTTCAGAGGTTTTCGCGCGAACCGCATTTTTTGAACAAACGATAATCTTAATCCCTTCAATGCACTGGATTCATCCCCTTGAAAAGTCATTTCTACTTTTTGCGCTGACATAGGAATATTTTTATTATCTATATTAAAAGAACGATGAAAAGTTTTGGTAATTGTCAGTTACTAGTAATTGTCCATTAAAGTCGTAAAATAAGCACCTTTTTCTTGATTTGTCACTCCACTATAGGTTCCTTTGCGTTGTGAAGTTTGAATTCCTAGTTTTTCTTGATCGAATGGCATCCAATTCACGACATATAACGAAGTCGATTTAGAAATAGAATGATAACTTATTACGTAAATACAAATTTATGAATGTTTTAACAGTTCAAATGTTCAATTGTTCGAAAGTTCAAAAATTTTCACACGGGCACGTGATCGTACAGGGTTATCTCTTTGGTCTTGAAGAATATGAATTCTGGTGGTGAATGAATTCCTGCCTACCCACGAGGGAGGGGAGACCTGGCGTTTCTTTTTCTTTCCTAGAATTTATGTTGCCTGTGTTCCTGGTATTGTGAATGTGTGGACAAATGTATACGTTTATGTTTTAGGTTCCGTGTTTCGGACAAGATTATTATTTTCCCGCATGATAGATGTTTCAATTAAACTGAAATAATATTCACTTAAGTTTGTCAATGTTCACTTCTGTAATTGTTTTATTCACCATACAACAAATTATACAAAAGTTATAAATTACGACTGTCGAAATAAACCACAAGTATAGTATGTTAATGAATTACACATTTGTCTTGTATGTAATTAGATAATGTTCTAGTCCACATTGTGTTATATTTTTCCTTCCAAAGCAACAACAACGAAAGTTTTAAATTTATTGTTCATCCTAATTCCATTTTCCTCCATTTATACGATTATAGAAACTCTGTAGTTTCTATAGATCACGTTTCCATCTTTCTTTATTTATACGATTATAAGTACTCTGTAGTTTGTTATTATCACGTTTCCATCTTTCTTTATTTATATGATTATAAGTACTCTGTAGTTTCTATAGATCACGTTTCCATCTTTCTTTATTTATACGATTATAAGTACTCTGTAGTTTGTTATTATCACGTTTCCATCTTTCTTTATTTATACGATTATAAGTACTCTGTAGTTTGTTATTATCACGTTTCCATCTTTCATTATTTATACGATTATAAGTACTCTGTAGTTTCTATAGATCACGTTTCCATCTTTCTTTATTTATACGATTATAAGTACTCTGTAGTTTGTTATTATCACGTTTCCATCTTTCTTTATTTATACGATTATAAGTACTCTGTAGTTTGTTATTATCACGTTTCCATCTTTCTTTATTTATACGATTATAAGTACTCTGTAGTCTGTTATTATCACGTTTCCATCTTTCTTAATTTATTTTAAGGAATGACTGTAATATTTTTTCTGTCTATGAAGAAATAACATCAAAAATGTGGTGCACACTGAATAACCAGCGTAGCGGGTTATTTTAAAGTGTGCACCACATTTTTTATGTTATTTCGAATAGACCGAAAAAATATTACAGTCATTTCTTATAATTTAATTCTAAATTCCATTTTAAACCGGAGTAAACCATGAAAAAACGTTGATGACGTCACGGTCACATGACAAAATTATGTCCATGAGCTGATAAACAAAACAACGTCAGCCAATCAGAAGACGCGTTACATCCAAAATTAAATTATACGATTATAAGTACTCTGTAGTTTGTTATTATCACGTTTCCATCTCTCTTTATTTATACGATTATAAGTACTCTGTAGTTTGTTATTATCACGTTTCCATCTTTCTTTATTTATACGATTATAAGTACTCTGTAGTTTGTTATTTATTAAATCCTCTACCTCTATAATAATATACAGTCCATAAAATTGAAAGCTTGCAGATCAATTCTATATACACAGTTCATTTACAAGGTTGTTCATCCGCTAGTTAGTTCTGACGGCAATATTTTGATGGTTTAACAATATAGTCCCACTACAAAGTTTTCATGTTCCTGAATAGACTCGTAGGATTGGTCTTTAGTGGACTTTGTCCTTGATCAATGATGCAGAGGAATACATATCTCTGGAATCAATCACATCTGTCCCAACAATTGGAATTGACACCATTTTGTACCTCATTATCGTGGCATTAGAACCAGAACGGTCACCCCTCTTTTCGGCTAATCAAAATTTATTTTTTTATATTATTACATTACAAAAATATGATTAAGATCGCACCTTACCCAACTGATAAACGTATCCCAATTTGGAAAAACTATATCTCTTATAATACCCATAAACTTTTCAAATTCAATATTTAAGTTTTCATAGGGATTTGTTTAATAGACTTCGAAGTACTATTTCAATGAAATTTTATTTTCAATCTTATGAAACAAAACAATCTCTTTAATGGTGAGTTGTCTGATTAGAACAAAAAGAAAAAGAAAACGTTAAAAAAATATATTAAATAATATAATGAGTAATACAACTGCTTCATTTTGAGCAATTCTGCATACAGCAGTTATATATATTTATTTATACAAGACTAAGATATATATTTACATAAAAATTTACAATCAAACAGAGAATTCAAACAGTTTATCTAAGTTATAAACCATACACATACTCAACAACTATCAAAACATTTACCAAAAGCTACGTTGTAGTTCGTTTACTTGTTTAAATTTTTTCGATTCGTTTTTACTTAATCTTAGGAGAGAAACTTAATGTACATATTAGTCCAGATTAAGTAACCCTTCGTGTCCTAGTTATTGCTAGATGTCGTGAAAACACGACAATAGAAAAGGTTCTATCACTCTCAATCGGATTTATTCCTATCTCTCTTTTCCATGAGGCCAGCACCATGCTTAAAAGGGAGAGGCAAAAGATACCAAAGGGACATTCAAACTCATAAGTCGAAAATAAACTGACAACACCATGCTTAAAAAAGAAAAAGACCAACAGACAAACAATAGAACACAAAACATAACATAGCATAGAAAACTAAAGACTGAGCAACACGAACCCCACCGAAAACTGGGGGTGATCTCATGTGCTTTGGAAGGGTAAGCAGATCCTGCTCTACATGTGGCAGCCGTCCTGTTGCTCATGTTAGTACAAACCCGGTAATGGTAATAAGTCTGATTCGGGCATGTAAGGCCGATCTCTGTTTTTAGGTAGAAGCAGACGCTGCATCTCAGTATCAGCACCGTATGTTCGATATGATATCGTACTTATCAGGGACAAAATGATATTATTTAACATTTTCGGGTACTTCATTTCATTCAAAATCAGAAATCATTCATTACCAATGATGATACAATTGTTGATGTCTTTGATAGATACGACATCAAACTTTTTATTAATCTGTCAATAGAGACCAACAGAATGGTGTAAATTCTAGCCAGAGGTTAGTTCAGGTAGTAAATGGTCGATCTATCAATGCTCTTGCAAATCGTTCTTTATTTGGCACTTAAATTTTTTTATTCGAGCGTCACCGGTCAGTTTTTTGTAGACGAAACGAGCGTCTGTCGTACACAGTTTTAATCCGGGTATCTATAATGAGTTTATTTAAACAGGCACAATAAACAGCAATAAAGATGATCGTAGATTCCTCCCTGAATATGAAATATGCAGTTTGTTAAGCCCTGCAATGTGTAAAGTTTTACCTCTAGTTCATGCTTTGATAGGTTGTGACACCACATCGTCAGTGTTTGTTAAAGAGGAGAAAACAACGTTTTAACGGACAATCTTGAAGACTTCATGATTTAGACCACCTTTCAAGCGGCGACATTGACGAATCTGTTGCTGTCAGAAGAACATTTGTTGCAAGGCTCTATGACCAGAAGCGGAAAGCCAAATTTGATCATGGTGTTTTGAATAAACATCGGGAAAGAAAAGCTAAACAGAGAGATGCAAGCTTGGTTAAACTACCCCATAAGAATCAT